CACACACACACACACACACACACACACACACACAGTACACTGTAGTGTAGCTGCAACATGCTCTAATGTTTGGTGGGGAAGTATTTGAGCTTCAGCGGCTGCCTCTTTAGCTGTCTGCCGCTGTGCCCGAATGAATTCCAACTTTACCACCAATTTATTTATACTCTACACTCACTGTCACTAATTGCATCGCACTAAACAATGTGTCATATTATGCCTAAAACGATAATAAAACACAATTATTTTTTTATGTCACGGTTGTTTCAGACACGAATAACGGCCAGCGCGAGCCACCATAATACGCGGCTACCCCGGCAACTAGCTAGCTGTGTCTGTTGTTAACTGCCCAAAATACCGACGTGAAGCCCTTTGCTCTGTATGGAAGTGGTCAGCATCACTAACGGGGCGAAGGATATATTATTGGCAACACAGTGACCAGTGGTTGTGTATTTCTAATGTACGTTACATGTTCTTTGTGGACTTAGTTTGTTAACTCACGCTGGTGTTACGGTACCGTTTTCATTCAGGACAAGGCTGTCTAACTACGTTATGCTACTGCTAAGTTTAGTCTGCTCTGTCTGACCCCTAGCTAACGAATACTTCCACATGTAACGTTAGCTAGCATCTTCTGCAACCGTGTACTCTGAGTGTTTATATTTAGTGATATTTAGCGTCGAGTGTACCGGTGTGTTTTGGAAGAGATGACTTGGAGTAACTAAACGCTACGTGGCACCTACTGGCACGTCTTAAAAGGAAACGTACTGATGGTCGTTGGTGTTTTGCTCTCTGCCACTAGGTTCATGTTACGTCTCACCGGGAAGTAATGAGGAACGTTATTGTGCTCTCGCTGCTGCTGCTGCTGAACATACATCATGTCATATCAGCACCCAAAGGCGTCACTGCTAGTCTATCAGCAAAGTGGAGCATGACGCCTTTCCTTCTGGAGACAAGGTACCCACGCCTGGATGTCCACACCGGGTATCTTGCCCTCACACAAATCTGCAACAAACAGGATAAGTCATGAGTTCGAGCCCCCTTAACGCAGTCTATACCCCCTCAAACTATTTCATTTAGTTAGGTAATTGCTCAGTTAAATTTACCCTGAATTCAGTTTCCTAGCATACAGGTCTAGAGGCCTTTTCAAAGTAAAAGAAACAACACAAAATCCAGGATATGGAATCCTTTCTTATCTTAAAAGTAGTCTAATCTAAATATATTGTGTCTAACTCTGGACTTGACCTATAAAACAGCAACAGCGTGTACTTTGTTAATGTTTGCATGTAAACTCCCTCCTAGGTTGTTCAAACATTGACATTTCCACTAAAATACAGATAACACGACCTCGTTGACCTGGATGGGCCTTGAGAAGAAATATAGAAAACATACAATTTATTAGTTACCTTTTATTCTCGTGACTGGGAACAACTGCAGGTTTTAGAAACTGTATATATTTTAGTATATTTAGTGTGTAACTTTAGTATTCATACACACTTAAATAGCAGCCAAAAGTAATTTAGTTGTTAACACTGTTGATGACTTACTGCGTATAAAGCTCTCTTTTATGGTGTTACTACAACCTTTGGTCAACAACATATTATTTTATTCTTTTGTGTGATACTTCACAGCGAAAACGATGAAACCAAGGCTGGGCAGAATTTTTAACAGAAAATATAAAAAGTTTATGTGGTCCGTAGCTTTAGTTTGTTGTTTGTAACATACTGTGGTTGCTGAATAATGCTGACTAATATTTTATTTTACTCCTATGTAGTGAGTTTATTGGTGAAGATGGGAATGAGAAATTCTGGCAGTTTGTTGACACCGTGAAAGAGCTCACTGTATACAAGCAAGGAGGTGTGTTGATCTAAACCCAAATATATTTTACAAACTTTGAGACCTTGAGTTTCTCTTCTAAAGAAACCTCACAATTACTAATGTGGATGCATCTCACAGAATCCGTGCGCTCGTACTACAACCTGGTCCTGAAGAAGGCTGGCCAGTTTCTTACGGATCTTCAAGTTAATCTCCTCAAATTTGCTCTGGCCCTACGGTCATACTCACCAGCTGTTCAAGCATCTCAGCAGGTATGTTGTGATCATATCAGTACGACTATTTCAAAACGTTCTCAAGAGCAGCGTGGGAATAGTACGGTATGCAAGAGAGCCGGGTTCATTCCATGTTAGAGTCTGTTACACTGTTTATCCTATTCTTGACCTCTGCAGGCCTTATTTACAGTTTCAATTATTCTCAAACTACTGTGTTAAATACTACACATCAATGATTAGTTTTCTGTGGTTTCTCACAAAATTCAAATGTGGATAAGGTTAATTGTCTGTAAGTAATCCAGTGACAAAGAGCGTTGGTAATCGAAAATCTTATATGCAAATGTATATATTCTGTCTAACATTTCACTTATCCAGTGAAATATCTCAACACTTGCCAGATGGATTGGGACAGAATTTGGTTCAGATATTCATGGTCCCCACAGGATGAATAATATCAATATCTTCCCCTGACTTGTCATCTAGCGCAATCGTCTGGTCAAAATTGAATTATGTCCGATACTTTGGTTTATGCCGAAGTATACCTAAGTATATATAGCGATGCACTGGTTGATGAAGTTGAATGAATAATGGCCTTTTGGTGTTGTGCTGCACAGTGGACATTGTTGTGATGATTGCTGTAGAATATTGAGAATAAATCAATCACATAACTGATTTATCTGTGATAAACTTTGATTAAAGAGTGAGGGGTCTTCACCAGATCGTGGCATTGTTGGCGTCATGTTGTAGCCGAAGAACATTCCTTCACTCCTCCATGTTCTCCAACAGATAGCCAGTGATGAGCCTCCGCCCGAGGCTTGCCCTGCCTTCGTCTCCATCCATGGTCAACGTAGCTGCAGCACCAAAGACATCAAGAAGCTCCTGAAGGCAGCTGCAGGCAGGTAACACAGAATGGCGCTTTCTTCCCCTCTGTGGATAAACTCAAATCCCTAACGCGGAACAATGTGAAAAGTTTCTACAGTTTTTTTGTTATAAACTTTGTTGCCTTTACTGACTCCATTTTGCCTGTAATGAACACAGACAGGTTTTTGTCTTTAACACTTTTAAACATTTAATTTGTAAATGTTTTGCAGGCCAAAACCGTATCTACACAAGAATGACCACACGTATCCAGGGGTCAATAAAACCGACGTGCCAGTTGTGATCCTCTATGCCGAGATTGGAACCAAGAAGTTCACCTCATTCCATAAGGTGCTGTCGGAGAAGGCCGGAGAGGGCACACTTGTATATGTGCTGCGGCATTTTGTAGCGGTGAGTAGCAAAGTAATGTTCCACTGATGAAATGTTTTTGATAAATAATGTGGTTTCCTGTCAGTCTCAGTGAAAAGTCATCTAGTATCTAACTTGTGGTTGTGTCTTTCTAGTCAGTCTTTTTCAATCTTTTGGTTTTCACACTGAGGAACTCTGTTTTAAAAGATAAGGATTGAGATATTCTATCATTTTAATGTAAAGATCAAAACAAAGAATCTATCCAATTGACAAATATTGTCTGTGTAGCCAAATCCTAACACAGCATGTTCCTCTGTGCCATAAAACTCCATTGTTTCATCTTTACTTTAGGTGATGGCACTATTGCAGTTGGGGCTGGATGATATGAAGATATATGTCATCAATATAATATAAATGTTCTATATAGCTTATATTGCAACTTTACGTAAGTTAGGCGCATCATGCAGAAACGTATCGGCTAGGCCTATAATAATAATAATAATTATTTTTTCCTTATAATGTTGCTTGAAACTGTGAAATGTTTATTTTGCAATTAGGTTCCTAATAAAATGAGGAACTCGGTGTGTTTCTACGTACAGTATATAAGTCAAACAGGAGTATACAAAAATAGGCTTCACCACGTGGTTATTTCATATAGACTTGTATTTATTGAATTTGGTCATTTTGCCTATGAGTGACACAACAGTGACATTATTCCTTTTAGTAGATTCCTCGAAATCTAACTGAAAGCTCAAAAACTAACCAAGATCCAGATGCCTTTGATGGTGTAAAAAGTGTCTGTTTTGAAAAGCAGAGTGTGGGCGTGAACGGCTTCTGAGTGTGGCTGTGAAAGCTCGAGGCAGAGCTTTGACTCTCAGTCACATAAGTGACAAAGTGGAATGTCGGTGAATCTGCTGCTGCTTGTGGGGGCCCATGTGGTTCCTGTTCCCTCTGGTAAAACACATTATAGATTGTAACTTCCACTGGCTGTGTAGTAAACCGGTCAGTCGAGTGTGAACATTTTTTGCTCCAGAGTCCAATGGCGGTGTACTTTACGCCGCTCCGGCCATCCCTTGGCATTGCCCATGGTGACGTTAGGCATGCGCGTGTCGCTGTTCAGCAATGGAGACCCATATCTTGAAGTTACTAAAAACATGACCGCGTGTTGACGTTGCTTCCCGAGGCATTTTTGGAACTTGGTAGCGACTGCTGCAACTCGCAAGTAAAGATAATTTTTCGGGAGTCGGCATTCAGCCTAAGCTGTTGTTGCTCCTAGGCGTTTCCGTTTCACAATTAGAGAACTTACAGTGTACTGTGGCAATATCTAGCAGACCAGACATCTGATTAACTTATTGGGAAGATGGCATCCTGTCACAGTGCCATGCTGAAAGTCTCTCCACTGTGTGACCCACTCTACTGTCAATGTTTGTGAATGGAGATTCCTGGTTTTATTTACCAGCTAAATCCACTAATTAGAATGGGTGTCCACCTCATTTTGGCTCTAAATTGTACGTAGGTTTAGGCATAAAGTATTTCCTATGGAACGTATCTGCAGTGTTGATGATTATTATCACAGTACCTTTGAAAGAAATGTACATGTATTAAAACTCTAGAGCGTTTTAACATTAAAGCCGTCACTGCCTCCCACTGCTTGCAGGTTCCGAAGCCTCAAAAGATGCTTTTATCTGGGTATGGTGTCGAGCTGGCTATCAAAAGCACAGAATACAAAGCTGTGGATGACACCAAAGTAAAAGGTCAGCTTGTGACTTCTCAAACATTTTGTGTGCTGGACGTCGCTGTGACCGAGACAATAAAACACAAATCTTGTGCTTTTGCAGAATCGGGTGCAAACGCGGAGGAAGACAATAACGATGAAGTCCAAGGGTTCGTTTTTGGAAAATTAAAGTAGGTGGCTTAAATGTAACATGTCATTTAAAACTGATTTTCTACTGTATGTTCTGTTTTGGCTGCTGGTCATCCTGTGCTTTGTGTGACTTTATAAAGAGATAACAATAAATCCTTGATTGTATTTATATCTTCTTCTTTTTTAATTCCCTCCTTTTTAAGGAAATCTCACCCTGAACTCCAGGAGCAACTGGTCGAGCTTCGCAAACATCTCCTCGAGAGTACAAATGACATGGTCCCTCTCAAAGTGTGGGAAATGCAAGGTATCGGTTCTCTATTTCAGTCCAATGATCATGAGGGAAATGTATGCAGTGAGGCATTGAGTTGTTTTAGTTGTCGAGTTGGTTCATATTCTACCATTTGTGGCTGGAGAGGCTTTCATTTTGAATTGTTGTCTTTGACTCACACTTACTAAGTTTATCAGCATATTGAATGTAATCTCATTTGACTGCTTTGCATGAATTAGATTTGTCTAAACATCATGTGCATTCATAGATAATAGATGCTGATGAATTCATTATTTCATCTCCACAGATCTTAGTTTCCAGGCAGCTGCCAGAATCATGTCGGTGCCAAAGTTTGACGCTTTGAAGCTCATGCGAGACCTCAGTCAGAACTTTCCGAGCAAAGCCAGGTCAGACAATTTGTCTTATTTTCTCTTTCTGGCTGACTGGCTAACGCGTTTGGTACCGTTCCAAAAAAAAATCCATATTTTAAGGAGCCCCCTCTTGTTACAATGTGTGAATCCAGGCACAACAAGCGCTGTTATTAAAGTGCGCGTGAAATATGTGTTTTATAAACCCATTTGTTTTAGCATCATCCATTGAATACAGCTTTTGATACAGACATCTAATCAGCTTTTTGATGTCTACTTATTTAGTCTCGGACAACTTGTAATAACACCAAAACATGCTGAGTAAGCGCCAGCTGTTTATGGGGCGCTGACGTACCATTCTGAGGGACCGTATCTTTTTGGAGATTAAAACTGGCATTTTACTGCCGGCCTGGGATGTGGTAAAAGCTGATGGTGACTGTACATGTTTTACTGTTCCCACAGATCACTGACAAGAGTGGCCGTAAAGCAGGAAATGAGAAAAGAAATTGAGGAGAACCAAAAGGTATGGTATGATAAGCAGCCTTTTCACACGTCGCTGCAGTTTTGTTTTTCAGACAATCGGTTTCTAATCTGTATCTGGAATAAATCAAATGTTACATTTTATTTTCTCCTCGTCTTTGCACACACTTTATTCATTCCTGCTGTAGTGTCAGTGCACACGTCGTCAAAAGAACCAATATTAAAGGTAGAGTCGCTCATTTAGGGGTTTTGGCATCCGACTGAAAACTTTGAGCTTGTTCTTTCAGCGTCTCGGTGAGTCCATCGGTGTACACGCGGGAGACGGAGAGCTCTTCATCAACGGACTGCACATCGATCTGGACATTCACAACCCGTTCAGGTAGGAGCCCAGCAGGAGGGCGCAGTGGTCTGTCCGTGCTCTCCCCAGGATGCCGCAGACCTACGCTTTGGCTCAGTAATCCTGTTGCAACAAGATCAGAGTTTATTGCTCCGCAAAGCGACTGCCACACAGCTAATATGTATAAAACATTAACCTTTTTGATTTTATATTTACAGCATTTTAGACATCCTCAGAGGAGAGGCCAGGGTCTTAGAAGGGCTTCATAACCTCGGCATTAAAGGAGAACATCAAGGACAGCTGCTGAGGTTACCCGTGAACCCTGTGGATGACAGCTATGCCTTAGATATCAGACATCCAGCTATAATGGTGAGTTCTGTCCAAAAGCATTATTCTTCCGGCACAGATGCAGGTGTTTTTGGTTTTTTTTGTTGTTTTTTCTTTGTCTACCGGGGTGTGAACTAAGTGTATCCGTCACCAGGCTATTGCAACAGTCTCGAGCCTGCCACAAACTTCAGGTATTAATTGGGACTCGGCCAAGAACAAGCTCTCAAATGAAACACTTTTCATTTGCGCCCCTGTGGCCATTATAATATTCTAGGTACTATACAAATGCTAAAGAAATGAAGAATTTAAGCATTTCCACATTCAAGCAAGAGGTCTGTCATTTCAGCTTGCATCTCCCCTTTCTAGTTACTGAGAACATGTGAGGAGGCTTGTGCAGTAAGTCACTGAAGGCTAGAAAGACCCCCGTTAGTGGCAGATTGGCCAGCAATGATGGATCATTTTGCAACTGTGACTATGGTCATTTATCATAAAAAGCCATTTTCAAAAGCTCACTGATGGTGGGCGGTAGAGCTTTATAACAAATGTACATGTTAATGTTCACATCAGATCCAGCATATTTCTGTCCTCAGAACTGTTCGCTTACATGCCTTAACAGCTTTATTTCCATGCATGTGATTACCTGTTTAATGAACATTTTACACCTTGTGAATAAATAGTTCAGTTGTAAAGCAGTTAGCAGGAAAGAGATTATTCTTTCAAAAGTTAACTAATGTAACATCGGTCAATGTCTTGTTCAAAGTGGAGGTTACAGATGCATAGTGTAAAACAGTTTTTATCTTTGATACCAGTATTACCTTGCTCGGCGGCTTCATTCTTGCCATGTCACAAGATCCCACGATTCTCGTGTGATCACATGTCACACGAGGATCTATCTAGGAGGATTTATCTTCAAGTATTGCATTTGTATCCGGTAAGCCAGAGCACAGCACAAGGCTTTTCCCTCTTCGACTGACATGTTTCGACAGGAGTTTGATTGACAGATGGTTCATCCAATCACCTGCCAAGTATTTTTTTTTAAGTGCCTGTCCTTTTCCAAACAGTTATCAATGACGGTTTATCAGAAGGTGACAAACTGTCTGGCTGACCAGGTAAATCAGAGTAAACCAAGTACTGTGACTCAGTGTCGGTCTCGCTCTCCAACGAAACCCAACTTGGTTATGAATGTAAACAAACCCCTCAGATAAAGCAAAGTCAGTATTTGGAATTCTTTGATTGGTACCATGTCATAAGAAATGTAGTGAAAATATAGAAACCACCATTCTAATATAAAAACATCCTTGAGTGAGGTCCTTAATCTCTACCTTTTCCAGGGTTGCTTGTACTTAACTCGTGACCATCATTGTTTTTCTGCTTTCCAGTGGATAAATGACGTAGAGAATGATCTCGTGTACCGCAGCTGGCCAACGGGTGTACAGGAGCTCCTCAGAGCCACGTTTCCTGGAGTCATTCGGCAGATCCGTCGCAATCTCTTCAACCTGGTGAGTCTCCTGAAGGTTAGAAGTGCTGCAGGGCCGCGATGATAAAGGGAATGGAGTTGAGAAATTGCAGTAGAAATGTGAAACTCGTTGGATGCGTCTGACTCTTCTCCGCGAGTCTAGATAAAACACTTTTGTTGTCAAATTATGGGGTGTTTGTAATCATTTCAGGTACTACAGTCAGATACACGATCACTGAGCATAATACTTAACATTTCCTCTAATTATCAGAACTATCTGGGTGTATTGTTGTGTCTGCTAAATGCCGATCCATCCATGATGAATGAGTTTTTCCAATTGTATTACGATTCAGATTTGATGACGATGCTTTTTCGTTGATAGGTGCTGTTCCTAGATCCAGTACGGGAAGAAAGTGTTGAGCTGGTGAAACTAGCAGAGCTTTTCTACAAGCACAAGATCCCCCTGAGGTTGGTGCTGTTATCGCTACAATCACCCTCCACATCCGTTTGCATGGGCCCCTCTTGGCATTTAGACTCTTAACCAGTTAGTGATTGTCATTTCAGCTGCAAATTGAATACTTGTTTTGGCCCTCTTTCTATAGAATTGGCTTCGTGTTTGTTGTCAACACCAAAGATGAGATTGATGGCTCCTCAGACGCAGGGGTTGGATTTTTCAGACTGCTGAATTACATTGCAGACGAGTATGATTCATCCCAGGCTCTGATGTCCATTGTCTCAGTAAGTATATTACATTCATAAATCTCTGTTGCTTTAGAAAGCACTTCTTTAAGAATAACTAGAGCACACTCCTCGCCAGCTCATATATATTCGTGCCTCAGAAGTCGGGTCTTTCATTGTGCCTCGTGTTCCCATGGTTTGAGACATTATTGAACTACATGAGTCGGTGGGAGTTTGCCTCTGGTATCAGCCTTTTCAAACAGACTTGGGAATTATTGACAGTCGCCGAGATCTGAAGACAGTGATCAAATGTGATCTGACCACTCTCTTGCAGATGTACAACAAAGTAGATGCAGGGGAGACGCTGTCTGTTGATGCCATATCTGCTTACCTGAAGAGAAAATTCCCTAAAGCCAATGCTGAAAGGATTCTTGGCATAGAATCCGAGTATGACGACAAAAGAAAGGTAAGAAAATAAAGTAGCTGTCTCTTGTTTCTTTCTGTTTATCGGAAGTTACAATAACTACTTGAAAAGATACATTTTCTTTTGATTTTGTGTGTTCCAGGACGGTGCCCTGTTCTACAAAAACAGCGGCCTTGGTGCCTTACCACTGGCTTTATTTAATGGAGTCCCTCTGAGCCCTGATGAGATGGACCCAGACGAGCTGGAAACCATCATCCTGCAGCGCATAATGGACACCACCACCACCTTCCAGAGAGCTGTCTTTATGGTACGACATAAGACACTCATACCTCATATTCAACCTCACAAATCTACCCCTCTATTCATGCCAGGAGTAGAACCTTTAGATTAATATATACATATACACAGAAACCGTAGATAATTATACCAACTGCAGTTCATCCATGCTTTTTAGTATTCATACAAGGACTATCTCACATACTAGCCTGAGGTTGTTATAAGCTTGATATTAGGTTTATTGCAATAGCAGAGTATATGTTTCAATCCAGAGTTCCCTTATGGTCTAACCCTCATCTGTTTGATCCTTTGCCTACAGGGTCAGTTGACTGAGGGCTCAAATGTGGTGGACTATCTCATGGAGCAGGCGAATGTGGTTCCCAGGATGAACCCTCTCATTCTAAGCACTGACCGGAAGTACCTCGACTTCACTGCCAAACCAGGTGACCTGTGCTGCTCATCTTAAACTTCAACATTATTGATTCACTGTCTATATTCCTCATATTTATTTCATCTTCCTTGCTTTGCAGTTGTAGATGATTGGGAGGACACGACTATGTTTTCATTCTTTGACTCCAGAGACAAAACAGCTGTGATGGCGAAGAGAATGAAGTACTTTACAAATACTGGTAAGATATCACGTAGTATTAAAATATGCCTTTGGTTTCCTAAACAACACAATTCCACCATTTCATTTTCAGTAACAAAATGACTCGCAACAATCTGAATCACTTATTCGAGCATCTGCATTTTGTCACGTACAACTGAAACAACCGTTCTGCATTTACTTGTTGAAAATCTGTGAGATGAGCAGTATCTGCACAGAATCAATCCTACACTGCTCTACTGATCTATGAAAGTGTGAAATTGACCTTTGTTAAAGCAGACAGGCTGCTCCTCCGGCAAGATAATTGCTGGATCTGCTGACAGTCTAACTGGTCGTCAGAGCTGCATTTGGCTGCTCACGCCTGGAGTGTAGCTGTCTCACTGAGGCTGAGGAGGCTGGACTAGTTGACTGACTGACTCACTAACTCACTGGAGGGGGGGGGATGTAACGATGACAGGTGGCCCGATTCTCGACTAATACACTGAGCTCTGTGCCAGATGTCTCAGTCTCTCTCACTTCTTACACACAAACTAAACATGTATCGCCGTACCTAACCTTACGTCTCACTTTCATCCGGTTATCATCGCCCTTTAAAGGATTAGCAGCTCTTACTAAGTGCCATGTAAATAATTTAGGTTGAGATTTTTTGAGATAGAAAACTACTCAAAAATACATTCGCCCTCCACCGGTACTTTAACAGTTTATTGTACAAATGTCAGGAAACCATAATGTATTTTAATGCTCGAAATTGCAATGAACATGTGACATGTGTGTAGAGTACAACAGAGTCGTTGCTCTTATACCTTAGATGAGGATGGGATGAGTGCCGTGACCGTGTGGATAGCCGGAGATTTTGAGACGGTCTCGGGAAGAAAGCTGTTGCTCGGTGCTCTGAAACGTGTGGTGAGTATCATCTACTCTGTCCTACTTTCTTATGGGGAATGAATGTTCACTCGATCAATGACATTGTTCATGTTTGCCTGTCTTTGACGCAAATCTCGCAGCTGGTGTAACTGCAGCTACAAAGCTGTACATCTATATATCACATCAGGGCAGAATAGATGAAGTACATTGAGATACTGTTTTTTCGGATTAGGACAGGCCCGTATGACCTAAAAATAAGCAAATTTAATATGAAAATGAATTCTCTGCATTTATGCCTCTAAAATGATATATTCACTGTTAATACACTACAGATGAATTAAGTGTGATACAGCAGGCAGGCATTTTTTTTAATGTCATAAAAAAAGATTCATTGCTGGTAGAATAAGCAGAACATGAAAAACCTTTCCTGTTACTTTTAAGCAATCAACACTCTCCTCTCCCAGTGCTCTCTGTGAGTGACACCTGCAGTCTGTGGAAATATGGGATTGTGTGATATTAGTGTGAATTATATCATTGCTGTGTGTGTGTGTGTGTGTGTGTGTGTGTGTGGAAGCAGAAGGCCAGCCCCGGAGTGCGTGTGGGGGTGATAGATAACCCCAGCGGAAAGCCAAGCGAAGATAACACTGTGCTGTACAGGGCTATCTGGGCCTCGCTCCTCACCCAGAAGAATAAGGCTGCAGCCGAGTTTGTGCAAAAACTCCTGCGAGAGGAGAGTATCCAGCTCCTCCAAAAGGGGACCAAGATGAAGGACTTACTGATGCAGGTAAAGGAGCGATTAAGGAGTGCAGTTTTTTTAATGTTTCAAGCAAATGGAAGCCGTTTAGATTTTGTATTCTTTTGACATTAAATCAACGTAGTGAGTGTCCTGTGTTTAAGGTACAGCTTTGCAGTATATTGATTTGCTGATTATATTGTGATATGAGACTAGAGGAGGTCTAGTCATTATTGTATTGTGACATACAGTACATGTTTGCCTGTCTTTAAGGCTACATAACGGTTACACAACCTTAATTCTTCTTTGATACTGATCAATGTGCTAGTTGCACATAGTATTAACTGAAACCTGCCATTAAATGTCTGGTCAGATAAAGACAAAGTAAGTATTTAAAAAAAGTATATTTTTTGTTTCCGATTGTCCATCATATCAATATTAGTGTTACTTATTGTTTCATTTCTTACAATAACCTTGTGTTTGAATATGTTCTCAAAGCACCAATAGTCATCTCTACTGTAGTATCACAATGGTGTCATATTGATATACTTTTATATCAATAATGAGATATTTGGTAAGCAACAAAAGTCAAACCCCAAAAATCCTTGAAGCACGGCCATCACATGTCACACAATACCAATTACACTGCAGCGAGACTTACTTAGCCTTTCTATAAGTTATTCATGCTCTGAGCCATGAGCATGCTGTGGTGTTATGTTATTTGAACCAATGCGAACTAACAAGAAAGTAGCGTAAACCAAGATGGTAATGGCTTTTTTTTTTTTTTTACAGCATGTGTGATCCACCTCCTGAAATAATAGAAAGGAACGGTTTCATGTTCATCATAATAAGTCGGATATGAGATACCTCCTACCTGCCACCACAATTTGTCTCATGCGTGTGTTGACTCCTTCCAGCAGAGATGTTCTTTGATGCTAGCGGTCGAAGCTGATCAGACAATTAGTTTATTATCTGCTGTGTTAAACACATGAATGCCTCTGAGCTGAGGTGGTGAATAAATCCCATATCTTGTTTATTCTGACATTCTGACAGGAACGTGTTAGAACACCCACGGCCAGCAAAGTATGAACATATGAGCAACTCAAAAGCATAGTTTGTGTGACACAAAAACTCTAATTAACAAGTAGTTATTTAAAGACATTAGGAGTGGGCAATGTGGATAAGGTCTTCTGTCATGGGATGTGTGATTTTACGTTTCAATATTAATATATATATATATATTGTGGAATAGTTAATCTTCTGTGATCAATTGTTAAATGATTTAAACATAAAACAAACAGACTGAAATATCTGTTTTCGGCTGAACCGGTACAGTACAGTACCTGAGGTGCTTCATCACACTGCTGCAAAATCCTATAAATCCAATACTACCATAAAACAGTCCTCCTCACTGATTTGCAACACTGCCTGCCACGGACTAATACAACCAGAGATATTAAAGGGATAGCTACCTAAATAAAAACAGTATGTCAAAAGCTTACAGCTAGTACCAATTTATTTTGTCTTATGGTGTACAGCGTCATATCATCCAACCCTAAAATATATGCAGGGCTACAGAATGAGTGTCATTGTGTTGAAAGTAAGAAATGCATTGTTTGGGGTTTGATTTGTTTTTAAGTCGTTTCCTTTGATTGTGTCACGGAAAAGTGTGCTGAATGTTATTCAACACTGATATAATTGCTAACTTTTTAGGCAGATTTGATGAACATAATGGCAAAAAAGAAAAAAAAAATCTTGGATATAACCACTCAGATCTGTCTGTCCCCGCTTTCGTGATTCAAGTGCAGAGTCGGGGAAAAAACGGTGATTGATGAGCCCATCTTCTCGTTCCCCCTCCTGAACATCAACAAACAGAATAGATATCGAGCACGCATGATGCTCCACAGCCTGTGGATGCCAAGGCAAGCGGCCTACTCACTTGTCTGTTCCACTTGATCCGTCACAGAGGCCAGCAGCAGGCGGGCTCCACACGCTGAATCTTTAACTTAAAAGAGCCGGTGGATACCTGGTCTCCAGGACCTGATATATAGTCGAGCTCTTTCACCGTTCATGGTTGTGTAAAAGCCACATGTGTTCAGCCAAGCCCGACCATCACTCTGCTTCTGTAAGCAATCTACGGCCAACTAGTGTTCTCCATCCTGTAGTGTGTGCCGTATCTGCCCACTCAGCATTACACACAAAGAAAACAAATTCTCAGGTGCTAATCAACAAATTAGCTGACGGGTAGGGCTCCCGTCTCTTCCGTCAGGAATAAGTCATACAGCACTGGTTCCATTTGGGACTGACGAACCGTAACAAACTGCCCTTCAATTAAACAATGGTGAGAGAGCGGACTGGAAATAGCAACGGGAAGATGGGTAAGAGGGGGCTGTGTGAGTTGAGACCCAGAGTCGAGGGATATGAGTTTATTATTGGCTGCCAGACAGACTTGCTGACTGGATTGTGCTGACATTATTGCTATTTCACCTGTTCTCCTGAGGAGAGATGTTGGAGAAACTAATAACCTGACTCCACAAACTCTCCACACTCCCACACCTAATTTGTTATAGACAAAAATACTGGAGGCTTAATTAAGAGTTTGGTGTATTAATTACAAATTGATTAATCTCATTTCCACACGTGCATTTCCGACATGCGTGGTCCTCTGGCTGAAATATTTCATGTTTGAGAACTGCAGTGATTGTGCTGATGCGAGGCGTCAATGATGCTGTGGATAATTTGTTTGCCTCGCATACATCATTCCTTACAGCAATGAATCACTCAGGTTTTTGTTTGTGGACAGGCTGTAAAGGGAGAGGGTCTATTGGATCTCGCTGTGCAGCACAAATTCAAAAATATGAGCCAACAATGCAATCAATTTATCCAACATCCTAAACAAACGTGTGCTATTCTGTTCCAGGGCATGGACAGAGATGCCTTTGAGAAAAAGTTCAACACCCTGGAAGTGGATTTCATTCGTAGTCAGCAGCTGTTTTGTCGAGATGTCCTGAAACTGAGTCCTGGACAGCAGGCGGTGATCAGCAACGGCAGGGTAAGACTATTGATCCGTAGGTATCTGCATAAAAAGTTAGAACTGACCACGATATGTCGTCGGAAAGGTAACGCTTTGGTTAAATGTTGCTGCTTTTCTTTGGTACGGTGGATTAGGCTCCTCTAAGCTGCTGCACTTTGGAGGATTTTCCCTTCTTGTGTTTTCAGAGAGTTCCCTTTGTACCTTCAAATCAGCATGAATGTTTCTTAAAGGTCACAGGTGGCACAAACTGCACTGGTCGAGTGTCTGTCTGTGTGTACAGAGCTGAAGTCTCAGCAGCAGTGATGCTGACAGCCACGGACGAAAGAGGCCAGCCTCTGAGATGGCAGTAACAATTAATATAATTTCACATCCCTCTGCTGCAGTGGCAAGACTCCCAAAATAGAAAGGGGGGAAAACACACACAGGCCCCCGTCAAAGAAAACCATGACTGAAAGTGAATAAAACACTGTGTTACAATCGCAGAGCATTTAACACAAGTAGTAAACCATGTAATACATGCTGAGATTAGAATTGGAACAGTCGTGTTGTGACTGCATTTATTGTCTTTATTTTAGATCCTCGGTCCATTCGAGGAGCAGGAAGAATTCACTGTGGAGGATTTCCAGCTGCTGGAGAAGATTACACTGAGCGGTTCTGCAGAGAACGTCAAAGCCAAAGTTAAACTGATGGGGATGAAAGCAAAGCAGTATGTTTGTGTATTTCTCTCTTGATATGTGAGAGAATCTGCCTCTTTCTTTAAATGTTTGTGATAAACCTTATTAGCCATCCCTTTTTAAATAATAACAGTTGTTATAACGTGTTTACACTTTCCGTCTTGTTTAAAAGGTTCCAGCAACAAAAATCTGCAACTTTCAATCATCAGCCACATCAAGTGTTCTGTAATGCATCTCAGTTTCTAGCTCCAGTAGCCTTAGCTCCTCTGTTTGACATCTTTCCCAATACGCAGCATTATTAAATGATGGACTGACCCGGCCACGCCTCTTTTTCCCTTAGCGCCAGTGACTTAGTCATGAAAGTTGATGCCCTCCTCACTGCAGCCCCCAAAGGAGAGGTCAGGAGGGATGTCCACTTTGCCAAAGACAGCCACAGGTGGGTCTTTACTCTGTTTACTCTCCTATTGGCTCTGGCGTTTCAAAGAGAACTGTTTACTTTCCCTTTTGTTATAATAGATCTGAAAATGTGCTCCACCCTCATGTCGAGCAGTGCAGAAAGGCAAATCTTTTGATTTGCAGCTCTGCTGAATAAGGGTTGTGTAACCTTGTGTTGCTGAATGTGCTTCGGTGTGCCGTTCTCCTCAGCGTGCTCCGTCTCTCCCCGCGTGAAAACGAGGTTTTCTATGACGTCGTGGCCGTCGTTGACCCGCTCACCAGGGAGGCTCAGAAGATGTCCCCTCTACTGATCGTAAGCGTCTCCATCGAGTACTAATACAACACGGACACTTGTACACACGAGTACAGAAACACAAAACGTTCGGATAGTTGTCACATGATGCTCACGTGATGCTACGGTCACATTTTCATGGTTATATTATCTTTAATGCATGTAGTTTAGCTTCCAAAATCTTAAAAGCATTTATTGAGTGAGCAAAATTGATTGGTGCCATTCTCTGTGAGCTTAAACAAGTATGCTTATTTATTTCCGGTTATTTAGAAACGGTTTCCTTCGTGGGCTAACTTTGACTGGATTTCATTAGCCCCCTGCTGCATCTTGCAGGAGGCTTGCTGTGGTGAAGAATTCGACTTGAATATGAAGTTATGACTCACCATGCCTTTGCAGACCGCCAGTCAGACGGCTGCCTTCAGTAGCTGTTGTTTTCAGTGTACACTTTTCCAGTAGTGTACTGTAGTATGCGGAAGAAATGACAGGTGATTTTAAGGAAGGCAATGTGGTCATTACCACTGGCTTATTATGTTTTGGCCACTTTTACATCATGAACGATGTCATGTAAGGATATATCAATCAATCAATCGAGTTTTACTTTTGTAGCACCTTTAAAACAAATCGAACGCTTTACAGATGAATGTGCTTCGTCACTTGAGAACCTCTTAACAACCAATAAGATAAGAGTAAGAGACAGTGAAACTATCAGCTGCCTTCAGTCCTTTAGTTCTCATGTGTCTTGTATCTGCTGGCCTCTACTCTGCTCCTGTTTTCTATAACTGGGTCTCTTCCTCTGCGACTCCTGCAGGTGCTCAGTCAAGTGGTCAATGTGAGACTGCAGGTGTTTATGAATTGCAGGGCCAAGTTGTCCGAGATGCCCCTCAAGAGGTAAGCTCCTGCTCCAGCAGTAATTACATTTTCCTCTTTTGCTTTGTTTGTGTATCCTCTGACCACTGCAGACTTAGCATCTCTGCCGTGCTCTTTCCCTTTGTAAGATTATAACTGCACAGATGCGATCTGCTTAATAACACTACCTTATTGCTTTGGGCCTCCCCTTACATCTCTAGGCAAATTGCTTACAGCTTGCATTGTTGCAGTTCAAGACAGAGGGAAAAAAGATTAATAAAAACAACAAATGAAAGGTTTAAATTGCCCATTAACATTCACACCACTGAGTGAATTCATTATCATTATGTAATTTGGGATGTTTTCTTTTTTTATTTGTTCCATAATGGGTTGAGCCAATTGTAGTGTTGGTACGACAGAACATTTCCAGGAAGTTTACCCTCTACTTTGAGGCAGACGGCAACCTCCAGTTCTGAAAAGTGGAGCTCTTTACATGTCTAGGGATTATACAAAGAAGGCAAATTCGCTTTTCAATGCTTTAGAAACAGGTGGTCTTAAAAATCCCTATTTGAGTACATATTTTGCCAGCCAATTCAACTGTTTACAGGATATTCAACCTTCGTTTTTTTTCTTTACTGGGCTTGTACAAAGGCAATAAAGTTGTCCATGAATATGAGATATGACTTTACAGATAATTACAATCCCTCCTTGTGGAGGTTGGTTTATGGCTATTTGCCAGTTACACCTACAGTCTGTGGGCATATCTGTGTATTACACTCGTTGTCTTTTTGATTCTCAATTTCATTTAATTTGTACGTCCTATTATGACTCCTCGGTGTCAACAGGCACCCTTAAGAAAAGCAATTAGGTCTGTGACAACTCTGAGTAGAAACAAAGAGAGGGGACATTCTGGTGCACAGACCAGCACACATATTTCTATTATTAGCCAAGCAGGAAGGAGCACTGGCAGTAATAGTATTAGATTCTTTACTTTGAGGAGATTGTATATACCCAGCTGTCACAACAGAGCCCGTCTCTCCTGTCCTAGAAAGGAGACTATTGCACAACATGTCATCATTTCAGTGCTTGCTGAAGAGGACTGCGTTTGTTGGATGGAATTGTTGACTCCAGTGGCAAAAAGTCCTGCAGGATATCCACCACCTCAGGGCTTACAAATTATCTTTTCTATTGTCTTCATTTGTAGTGCAAGCACACACATTGTGATCATTCCCGTTTGTCTGTCTTCCCAGCTTTTACCGCTTCGTCTTGGAGTCCGATGTGAATTTCTTGGCCAACGACACAGTGTCTCCGGGACCAGTCGCCCGGTTCATGGAGCTCCCAGAATCTCCTCTTCTCACCCTCATTATGATCACACCAGAGAGCTGGATGGTGCAGGCTGACCGCAGCCCCCACGACTTGGATAACATCCACCTGCAGGAGGTATCTCGCTTCTTACTCCCCTGCTACTAGCGGTCTTAATCATTCCCCCCTCTTAATTAGGGCTGTGGCGCATTCCACCGATCCCTCCCCTGTGTTTTGTGTCCTCCTGTAATGTGTGGTTTCCCTCCAGGTGAGTGGGGTTGTGGAGGCAGAGTATGAGCTGGAGCACCTTCTGCTGGAGGGCCACTGCTTTGACCTGTCAACGGGCCAGCCTCCCCGGGGACTGCAGTTCACCCTGGGCATGAGTCGGGACCCGCTCATGTACGACACCATCGTCATGGCTAACCTGGTCAGCAGCTTCATTAATACTAGAGCTGCTAGTGTTTCTTTTGGACTGGTGCCAGGGTTGTGTGAATTTAAGGCTGACGGTAAACACTCGGACTCCTTCTGTTTCAACCACAACAGGGATATTTCCAGCTGAAAGCCAATCCCGGTGCCTGGATCCTAAAATTACGTAAAGGCAGATCGGAGGAGATCTATCAGGTTCTCACGTGAGTTCTACAGACCATTTTTAATGCCATTGTTGTCATTTCCCAACTCACTCCTTAATATCTTTTGAGGTAATGATGCCAATTAGTAGCTCAGGATGAAGGTTGTTTTCTGCTACCTCTCCGTTTCACACCGGTAGCTGTGAAACCCATCACTATGGTAACATGGAGAGCTGCTGACACCGTAGCAGTTCAAGGTTTTGATGAGTACAGGGAGTTCTGCTCGCTACAGAGCGGGGAGAGAGAGAGAGAGACAAGTAGGAGGAGAGAGGGGTGCTCTCAAAGAGAAGACTGAGTGGCGGGATGATTCAGCTGGTCACCTGCAATGCCATCCAACCCAGACAGCAACATATCAGCAGCAGAATGTATTTGAGTTTGGACGGCGTAGGAGTCAGAGGCTCCGTATACCAGACAGAGTGCGTTGGCGTTGTCTAATTTCCCTGGACAAAGAGAAACGGTGTTGTGCTTTTTGTTGCTTTGATGCGTTTTCAAACAAAATACAAATTTTTTTTTTTTTTCTTGCCTTGTATTCTTTTAATTCTGCACTTATACTTCAATTAAAATGTACTGTGGTGCTTCCTACTTTGATCTAAAACAAATCAAATTGTTATTTCACAAAGGAACAGCAAGCTCATCAAATTATGTCTACTTAACATAACAATCCTTTTCGAACAAGTTGGACTAATGGCTCCAATCCCAACCATCTATGTGAGTGTGCACGGTCAGCTGTAGTGCATCGTATTAGTTGTCCCTACAATCACAGATATTGTCCTCTCTGGCTATACTCGCATACGATTTAGGACACATGCAGCGCCTCGGTTCCTCTGGAATCATATCGGACAAGTAAGATTTATTCCCCAATCCTCCAGGTGAAGCTAAGAGGTGATGTCATTTTTCACCTTGGCAGTGTCATTATTCTTGTGGTTAGCGGCACTCTACTCCGGTTAGGTGGCCGATCAGAGTCTAGTGGGAGTGCCCGTGCTCTCCACTCCCAGAGCCGGCGTTTTTTCTCCTCTTCCAGCCGGCGCCGTCTTCGCCCTGACAGCGATGAATGAGACGGCCAGCTCTCTTCTTCTCAGAGCAGGGATACAGATTGATCTCTGGTGCTTTTCTAACACGAGCCCTAAAGGCTACGTTGCACCAGGGACAGCAGAGAGAGAGGGGGGGGGGGGGGGGGGGGGGGGGGGGGGGGGGCAAAAAACACAAGCGGCACTTTGGGCCCAATGAGGAGGGAGCATTTATCACAGTGATAAGGTCAGGTTTTTTTGCCTTTAGTAAGCACTGGGGTCGTAATGGCTCGCTGTGCATCACAGCCTATTGCTCATCTCTTCCATGATGTTCGTCTCTTGGGGTTTTCACCACGAGACCCCCGCAGATCCTGCCTCCCGAAAGACATTCTCCACTGAGCGGATCAGTCCTACAACAATTCCAGTGAAAGGCCAGTGTTGTGCCATCAATACTGTACACAGTTTCTCATTAGATCTACCAGTATATATACAGCATGGCTGGGGAAGTAGATCAAATAATGGTACGGTGATAGTTAATGATGATAATCACTGTGATCGATGGCAGCTGACCCAGGATCTGTCAGCGGCCCATCCATTAGCTGCTGAAGGAGCCGATGCTGCGTATTCTTCCTGCGCTGCTGTCATAGCTAAAGCATGCGAACCAAACTCAAGTCACTCACACAAATATTGTGTTTCACTCAAGTACACTATTAAAACGGAAACCTGACACTGATTGGTTGAGTAGTTCTGTGAGTGCTTATATAATAATGTACAGGCGTTTAAATAAGTGGTGATATAGGTATTTGCAGTAATGTGCGTACTGCAGTGATTGGCCTAAAGGGAGGTGGTCGGCTGTGTCACACTGAAATATCTAAAAAGTCGCCTGCAAATATCAGCATCAGTCGGTTTTAGATGCTCCATAGCCAATGAAATGGCTTCATTAAATCTATGACTGGTTTCTTGGTCTAAAGATACGACGTGGCTTAGTCTTATATCTGGATTTAAGATAAAGACTAATCAGTACCTCTCTCTGAGTCTAGGTAATCACTTTCACACTCTTGATCCACTTTTTCAGGCACGATGGAACGGATTCCCCTGCAGATGCCGGTGACGTCCTTGTTGTTCTGAACAGTTTCCACAGTAAAATCATCAAAGTCAGAGTGAGTTAGTTTTTTATATTGTATTCCTCTTCAGCAGGTCACGAATTGAGGGTGTTTGGTTTAAATTTACACAGTTTATAATGACATCACTGACTGTTTTGTGTCTACTTCCTCATCGTAGGTGCAGAAAAAGGCGGAGAAGATGAACGAGGATCTTTTAAGTGAAAACAGTGAAAGCAAAGGCATATGGGACTCTATAGCAAGGTGAGTAATCGCCGCTCGCATACAGTCACAATGTGATTGGTTTCAGGAGGTTTTAAGACCCTCCCTGTGAGCTCATTGATTGGTGGGTTTGCTGATGTGCTTCCTGTTCATCAATTACACGTTGTGGTTTCAGGAGATCATATTCTTCCCCTCGATCCAGACTGCATTATTATGCTGTAAGAGCTAGTCTTGCAAAAAATATGTGCTTCTGTAGGTATGTGTGTGTGTGTTTCCCCAACACTCCCTAACTGTGATCCTGTCTCCTCACTAAACGCCTGCTGTGTGAAGTGTTTGGAGCACTTTTGAGAAAAGGTAGGCAGTGTCACTGCAACCCGTTTAACACCTAAAACATCTTCATCTTCATTGGCATGCAGTGGTTTTGGATGCTTTTTTTTAGGCTCAATGAGATATTCTAACAGGATATGGTAATAATGTAGCGCTGTGTTTAAATATGATGTTACATTTTCACATTTTCCTTTTTGGATTCATTCATTTATTTATAGTATGTGGTCATACATATGCTGTAGTTTTTACTCTGTCATGTCTCGGTCTCAGACAAAGAGGACTCTGGATTCTATTTCAAGACTAACTGGGGAGATATGATCTGATTTATTAACATAATTCTCACTAACATCATGGTTGGCGTGGACGACTTTTGGGCTCCCCTTTATAACCCGTCTCTGCCACGACCGAGGAACAATACGGAGCTGAAAGTGCTATAAACGGGCAGATAAATAGATTTATGATTGAACGTAATCTTTCCCATGGCATGCTCGCTTTTGAGTAATGAAAATACTCTTTAACATTAAAAGGTTAAATAGACGGTTGAAGAGAATGGGTTTCAAGAAACATAACTGCTCCTTGAGTGCCGGTGACGGATGGATCTAAGATGTACGCAGATTTGTCTGCATTTGGAGAAAGAAGTGAACTTTATTACGGCACGATTCCATCATGTCCTCCTTTCAAAACGAGGGCACATGAATCTCAAGACTTGGAAGCCACTTGCAAAAGCGAAAAATACTTTAACCGTACAGTACATCCCACACTGTGCCTAAATATTCTTTGTCAAGTTATATATTATTATATGTTATATATATTGTATACCCGTAACATTGTCACCCAGTCCTATTAACATCCAGTGAAGGCAGCTGGTTTCAGATGAAGTTTGGAAATGATGATTCATTCAAAGAAAACACTGAAAACCACCAAATACTACTTAGCCTGAGTAACAAATCACACAGAATGTTGACAACATATTTGCATGTTTCTTTACAAGATTTAACTGAGAGAACACATTTGTTTTTCACAGGACTCATAATGATAGTTCTATATCAATATATTTTAAATGATTGCACAACATAATAGTGGCCGGCTTGGAAAGCAAAGCATCCGTTGTGTAAACCATGACTGGTGAGTGTAGAAAGTAAAGATGTCTTTGTAGTAGTGTTGTACTATTACTTCATGCGTAACCTTTGTTGTAACGGGACTGCATTGATCTGAAGAATTAGTGAGGTGGATCCATGCATAGCAAGTCTAAGTGACAGAGTTGTTACACATTCTCTCATCTTTTAAAGAGATTTGTGTTCTCTCTGTAGAGTAGTAATGGTGAGAATAGTTTTTCCTATTCTTTCTTTCTTGAGTCGCTCTCCTTTGTTTAGTGATCTTTCTTCTTTTGAGCATTCCCTCTCTTGCTCTCTTCTTTGTCTGGGAGGAAGATGAAGGGAGGGTTTTTACTCTCAGCCAGGGGAACTTTGAGGGTTTAATGTCCTTTTTTATGCTGCGCTGAGAGATCAGAAACTTCGGTGCCACACAGGGTGAGCGAGAGCTTCAGCAGCTGTGTTACTACCTGAGGGACTTATTTAGGTTTTCAGCTGAAGCCAGCGCTCCACAAGTACTCATGAGATCTTGGAGAGTGTTAGATGGGGCCTTGGCCATTCATGTTTTCTCCAGATTAAATCCAACTAACAGGCAGGGTTATTCTACAACACGTATGGGTTACGTTCTGTGTAGTTGTCTTGATGGTTACAGTACGGGGAAGGAAGGAACGGGTGAGTTTTTATTTAGTTATTTACATGCAGTGTAGCTGGTTTTCTTTGGCGGACATGTTTGTCTTTCTTCTTTCTTGGCAACATTTCTTTGCCTAGTAAATATTAACCAACAATAACTCAAACCGTGTCTGACTTGGAAGATGATTTTTGCAATCACTTCCCTTCATTCCTGACCAAACTCACTGGCATCTCATCAGATGCTCTCAGTGGAGCGGACTCTTTTATGACTTCACACTGGAGACTGGATGCCATGATCGCTACTGTCCCCACACGTTGTCTCCTAATAGAGTTTATTCTGGTGGTCTGTTCTGGCTTTGTTACTGTTTTGGGTTTTGAATTTGAGACTACACCCACACCCAGGCGAACAGCAAGCAAAAAGCCTTATTAATAATGGAAAAGATGGGAAACTAAGGTGTAAGTTAGAGTTATGCTCTACAGTACACATGTACTACACCTCAACTATCTGTCCCACTGTCTGCTCATTGTTTATGTCTGTTGATGATCTCCTCACAGATGTTAGAAGAGGATTCTGCTCTATCTACAGAGCAGAATCCTGTCTAGTTGGTGTTGTCCACTGCTCAGGATTTACCCAGAGCTTTGTGGATCCTTCCAGAGGTCCAGATTATCTCGAGTGTGTCAGCCAAACAAGCTCTCACCTGACCCTCTAAAGCTGCTTATCGGGGGGTAGTGCTGGAGGCCCTTCATCGGCGGCTGCAGATGTGTGTGTATGGTGACTCCCCAACATCCAACTGAGAAGAGAGAGAAAAATGCAGCAAATGTTTTCAGATGGACGGACAACACTACAGCACAGACTACGGATGTATTGGCTACAGTCTGTGTTGTACGGATGTGACTTGTATGTGTGTGTCAGAGCTGGTTTTAGAGGACACGCAGAGACAGACACCCTTTCTCATCTCTCTCTCTCTCTCTCTCGCTCTCTCTCTCTCTCTCTCTCTCTCTCTCTCTCTCTCTCTCTCTCTC